CATTCCTGCCCAGGGAGGGCGAGGCTAAAAGACCAGCCCTCCTGAGCCGGGGGCAGTGACTCATGGGTTACCTGTCCTAGGGCTTCCTGCCAGCCCGGGGAGGGAGCCGGAGGGGAAGCATTTAGACTTGATTCCTGCTCATTCCTCTTAAGCTTTCCTTGGGTGAGTTGGGCTTTGACCCCTTCCTGATGAACTGTAGCCTTTTAAGGCTCCTCCAGATTCCCTGAGAAGCAGGGATTTTCCACTGTGTTCGTTTTCCCTGGGGGGAGGGGAAGGTCTGGTGCTTTTCAAGGTCCTGGAGTTTTGGGTCTTCTCACCTTCCAGCCCCGGGCTCTAACATCCTACATTCAAGCCCTGATCTTTGTGTCCTCTGCTTGGTCTGCTATCCAGGGTGGTCCAGGCACAAGAGGAAGCTGATCCTACGGGTCTCGGGAGAACATCAAGTACAGCAGCTGTCACAGATGCCAGCACCCTTCCCGCCCTCTGAATCCTGGTCTGGAACGGTCATGCACGTTTGCCTAGTGCTTTCGGTTTGCAGTGCTCTGCTCAATCCCCCAAGGCACCCACGGGCGGGCACAGCGGGGTTTGCTGCGAGGCCTCTGGGACCCACTTGTCCAGTCCTGCCCTGGGGTGGGGGGTGCAGTGACGGCAGATGGGCGTGCCGGCTGCCAGATTCCTGAGGCCCGCCCTGCAGTGGGAGTCTCCAGAGGTGAGGCCGTTGTTTAAAAACTGGGAGCCAGGAGAGGAGACCCCCACATTCAAGGGGTGCTCTCAAAGAGGCTATCTGGAGGACAAACAGCGGTAGCAGTGAGCTAGGTATGTTTCCTGCCTTCTGCCTGGTCGGGGCTGGGCGGGGAGAAGGGTGTGCTCTGGGTGTCTGGGGCCTGGTTGCAGGCCTAATTCTTCCTCTTCCTGCGAGCCCACCTGAGCGAGTCACCTGCAAAGGCTAGGTTAAATGTCTGCCCACGTTTGGATTGCTTTCTCACGTCTGATAAGCATCTCGGTGACTTGGAAGAAAGCAGGTTCAGCTCCAGGGCTGAGCACAAAGAGGAGCGGGAGGGGTTGGCAGGCCAGGCCCGAGCTTGCTGCTCAGAATCCCTAGTTCTGCTGGTGGGAGAGGAGGAAAACCAGAAAATAAGGCAGGCCTCCCTCTTAGGGCGCGATTAGCTGTATGACCGCAGGTCGCTTGTCTCCTCTCTAGGCCCCTGACTCTTTGGGGAGTCGATTGGAAGGAACGATTTCAAAACATGAGGGTGTATAGTTTAAAGATTCCGGGAGAGCCCTAGTTCCCTCTCTGCCCTAACGTTGCCGGCCCCATATCCCCCCACCCCAGCCAAAGGAGTTTCTGGCTGTCACTGGAGCAGAGTGAGCATCCCATTCCAGGCAGAGGTGGGGCATGCATGAGCAGCGCAGGCCTGCCTGTCTCTCTCGAGAATCCATAGCCAGCCTCCTTCAGAATCCCTGCTCTGTGGCATCCCAGCCCCACCCCTTCTGCACAGCCCCAGCCCATAATTAGAAACATTTTGGGTTGCTTCCAGTTCTGGTAAAATCCTCACTTACTTTTTTAATAGTACCAGGCATGCTTTTCTGCTTATCACATTCCAGCTGCCTGCTTTGCCCAGAGTTGTGGCCACCATAGCCGGTGGCCCTTAGTGGTATTGGAGATTGTGCCAATGGCAGAAGAAGGCTCGCCTCCAGACCCTCGGCCGCTTTGACCCACTCAGCTTTGGGCCCGTAGGCCGGGCCGGGCCCTGAGAAAGGCCGGGCCTCTTTCTTGGCAACAGCGAGGTTTCAGACCTCTCTGCGGTTCCTCCCCTGCAAAGTGCCAGCCGTTTCCTGCTCCCCATGTCGTCTTTATGACTTCGTGGGGCAGGGCCGGCCCATCTTCCTCCCTGCCGTTCCGGAGGAGGAAGCTGACGTCTGGGAGGGGATGGCGTTTTCCCCGAGCACCTGTGAATCACATGCCAGTTGGGATAGGAGTCCGAGGCTCTGGCATTTTCCAAGTTTTTGGCTACAAATGCACCTACTGCTCAGAGGTGTCCTTGGTCAAGTCCCTAGGTAAAGTCTTCTGAAAAAACATGAGTCCAGAAATGGAAAAGGGGTGCCCTAGAGGTTTGCACCATTTTACCCAGGCTGCTTTGCTCTGTTCCAGGTGAGGTCCTCTCTGGGGATCGCCCCGTTGGCTGAAGATGAGGCCGCTCCTCCTCCTGTGCTTTGGTGAGTGTCCCTTCCCATCCTTCCAGGCCCTGTAGTATGGCAGGAAGCCGACAGCTACGAGTAGGGGGACAGTTAACCAAAGTGCGAGCATCACCTGTCACCCGTAGTCTTCAGGTTCGGAACGCTTGTCTGGTGGCAGCACCTGTGAGGCGGCTCTGCTCCTTTAGGCTTTTGGGAAAGGTGATTTTCGGTCCCTCTTTGGAGGCTCCCAGCTCTCTTCCTCCTACCCGAGAGTGATCCGTGGCCCCGAGTGCTCTGTGCGATTTACTCCCACCGTCTCCCATGCGGGCTCCAGAGCCACCGGGGCTTGAGCGGTGACATCCCAGCGCGTGGTGGCGGGGCGCTCACACAGTGCCGTGGGGTCGACTTTGCTGACCGAGGAGCAGAATGCAGGTTTCTCCCAGTGTTTCATGGACGGCAGGTGGCCAGTCCTCCTCTGGGCTGGGACAGAGGCCACGCCGCAGGTGAGGAGGGTCGCGGGCCGTGCCCTGGCGGCCACGTGTGTGCCTGAAGCGTGATTCTAAAAGCCACGCACGATGCCCCGCATTCCAGGTTTTTGGTTGCCAGTGTTTCCCTCCTCCTTGTTTTTTTTTTTTTTTGTTGTTGTTTTTAAGTTGGGAGCTACAGAATATGAAATCAGCTTTTTTATCTAAAAGCCTCAGGATCTCAGTCATGATCACCACCAGTGAGCGGGAGCAGGAGTGAAAGAGAGAGTCTCATCTTGTCGCTGTCTGCTTCCCTGGGGGATGCTGGGGTGGCCAACTGGACCCTCTTCTCTCCGAGCTGAACCCCAGCACCCCTGTGATTTCAGTCCTGCCCAGCCTCCTATGTGCCCAGCAAGCCTGTTCCCGTGGGGCCTGCTATCCACCTGTCGGAGACCTGCTCATTGGGAGGACCCGGTTTCTCCGAGCTTCATCCACCTGTGGACTGACCAGGCCTGAGACCTACTGCACCCAGTATGGCGAGGTAGGCCCTAGCTCCATGGCCTCCAGGCCTGGAGGAAGGTGAAGTGGGTGGGGTGGGTGAGCCTGCCATTATTCACTGAATACTTACTCAGAGTAGACTTGGTGTAGGCCCAGCCCCATGCACTGTGGTAGTTGGGTGGAGGGGAGGGGTTTGCAGGAGAAGTATAAGGCTGGGCAAGAGGAAAGGTACTCAGGCTTAACTGAATTGCTCTTTTCTCTCTTCTGCTCCATAAAGCTGGAGTATTTTTCCAGCCCTTGGGCATGGGCAGGATAGTTTTTCGAGTCTTAGGGATAGACAATCAGTTAAATATCGATCCTTTATACGTAGACTCTCATGTGCCATCTTTGGTGGACAAAGTCGAGGGTGGCAGAGCGCAGGTGCTGGGGCGCGTGCACTGGGTCGTGTCTTGCCGTGAGATGAACTGAGTTGTGCCTCGGTCACTCTGTTGCCACCATCTCTTTAGCCAGCGTTGGGCTGTGGGTGTGGACAGAGCTGGGAGTAGAATACATGATCGTAAGCTCGAGTTTACTTTCTGTGTTTTGAACTTATGCTGTATGAAGAGCCATCTTATTAACTTCTCTGTCTCCTTGGGCCATATGTTTTATCACCCCAGGCGAAGAGAAAAACATTCAAACTGTTGTTAAAGGACATAGATCAGTTAAATAAACAAGGAAGTGACTTGAGGTTAGTGAAGAGGTTCAGAGACTCAGTTCATAATTAAGAAAATGAGCTAAGCGAATCCAAGAATTCGAACCCTTCAAGCTCTGTCAATTAACATTGCTTATGTAGGCAACCGATTTGTTCAGAACTTGCGATTTTTTTTCTCCGTGGCCTCTGGAGCTTTTTAGTAGGAACTTTGGTTTTCTTTTCTTTTCTCTTCAACAAAGTTGGGGTCTTTCTTTGCTCCTTGTGTTCACCGAAGTTGAAATCTCTCAGTGTTTTCTTGTTGCCCAGCTGCCTATTTCATTGGATCATTTTTCTACTCTCAAAACACAGGTTTAGACAGAGGAATGGATGAGGGGGTGGTTTGCCCTGATTCTCCACAGCCTTTGGGGGAAAAAAAGAGAGACCGAGAGAGCACGGAGTGAGAGAGATTGATTGATGTGAGGGATACTCGGGTTATCTGTGGTTTCCTCTTTACAGACCGTCCTTGTCCTTGGGACCTTGGTTATGTACCTGACAATGCCTCTGAGGCTCACTGTCCCCAGTGTTCTCTTGGCAACTTTTAATCACAGGTTGTACTGGGTCATGGTTTAGGGGTGCTGAGAGCAGAGATGGCTGTGGTTTCTGCATCTCACTCACTTGGATATGGGAAAGCCCGTCTGACTGTGTTGGGTAAGATGGCCAGCATCAGGCGACTCCTCCCTATGGGCCCAGGTTACTCCACAAGCATCAGGGACCTGGCAGTATTGAATGTTTCTGGTAGTAGAATGATTTTAGCTGCACTTTACCACAAACCCTCAAATCTTGTGCCACTGGGCCATGTCTAAAGATTTCAGGGAGACCTCTGATTCCCTTCTTTAGGCTGACCTGCCTTCTGGGAGATGAAGCAAGGAGAGATCTGAGGCTTTCGTGCCGGAGTGCCCCTTGGCCCCAGCTCTGCCGGGACCGCCTCCCTCCCTCTAGGCCTGGGGCTTCGGGCTGCATCTTGGCCTGCCCTCTGCTTCTCTTGGATGCCCTGTAAAGCCAACTGCCTTCCCTGCTTTCAAGCCACCCCCTCTCCCCCAGTGAAACAGGGTGCTTGCAAAAGAGAAGTCTAGACTTTTGCAACCCTGGGGATGGATAAATGTCTGCTATTTTGCTGCTGTGAAAGTTGAGAAGTATTGGCTTTTTCTTTCTTTTTCTATAAACCCGTGGATTCTCTTGGAAAGAGTAGAAGTTAGGGCACCTCGAGTGCAGGGTGTAGCCCCAGGTCTGCCACTCGGGGTGAGATTGTGGGCCACATATCACCCCTCTCCAAGGCTTGCTTTCCTATCCATGAGTGAGTGTTCGATGAAATGATCTTTAGGATCGCTCCTTGCTCTGGCTTCCTTTGGGAAGGAGCTGACTTCTGAGAAGCAGCTTCTCTCCCCCTACCTTCCGCCTCCTGGCCTTGCCTGATTTCACCTTTCCTCCCCCTTGTTTGCCTAACCTCCTAGAGGCCATCGGTTGCCAGCAATGAACACACACACTGAAGGTACCCTGAACCCTCACGGGTGTGGCAGTGCCTGGGTGATGAAAATTAGGAATCCAGATCGAACTCAACTGAATTCTAATTTCCGTTTTCAAGTTTATTTTATTATTATTAGTAGTATTATTATTAGTATTATCATTATTATTATATTATAGCAACTGTGTGTCCTGGGTATCATGCTAAAAGTTTCATATACATTATCTCAGTTAATTTTCACAGACTCCATGAGGTGGCTCTTGTTGTCCCCTTGAGCTGTTGGGAAGGATCGGGTATGTGCTGGGACCCCAGACTTCTGACGGAAACACATAGGTGTTGAGTTTTCTGAGTAGTTAGAGATGCGGGATGTACTGGCTGGCACTGGCTGGAAATGAGGGTCACGTGATGCAAAGCTGCATTCCTACTGACTCCTGTCTTACCCTCTCCCGCTGGCCCCTGTCTACCAGCGCCCACCCCCATATATGCACCTTCCTTAAGTCAAAGCCACTGGCTAGTGCCTCTTTTCTATTTCTGTACAGGGGTGACATTGCGAGCCCTGAGCTCAGCACCAAATCACCCAGCACCTGCTGTCTGCCTACTGATGTGGCACGAATACAAATGTAATAGGGATTTATGACCTTGGGCATTTCTGCAATGCTTTCCCTCCCCAGGGGGCGCGGTGGGAACTCAGTGTAATGGGAGTTACAGGAGCAGCGCGTACTCCTTCCAGTTCCAAAATTGTCTCAACTCCTGATCTCAGAGTGCGGCTCCTTTTTTTTTTTTGTGGGCCAGTCTTAGCTTGTTGGCATGTTACCTCCTCTGTCTAATTTTATCTCAGTGGCTGAATCCTGCTGGCCTCGAGGGCTTGCTTCTGTGGGTTTTGAGTCCATATTGCAACCCTTACAATGGACCTGGGCCTTAGACAGCTTGGCCTTGTGTACCTTCCCCCTGCCTCCTGCTCAGCTTCGCCTTTCTGGGCTCACCTGCTCTGACTCCCCATTAACCATCCGGCCTGGGCCCGGGCAGTTCTTGCCCTAAATGGCCTGAGGCCGCAGTCCCACCCCGCTCTCCTGTTCCCTTTCCTCCAGCTCCTGCATAACCTGTGCCTAAACTCACTGCACTGCTGACTCCTAAAGCTCAAGCGTGAATGAAATGTCTCTGACATGTTCCTGCCCGTGTTCTCTTTTGTGCTTCCCCTGATGCTCGGCCCCTCATTTAAAAAGTAGGAGTAATGACAGCGCCACTTCAGTGAGTTGAGCCACGTGACCGCCGGCATGGCATCTGGAAGATGCTAAATGTTTCATCTCCCTCCCTCACGCACCTTCAGGGACCTGTGCCTGTACGCAGAGGCCACCCCGTCTTCGAATCACAGCCCTGAGCATTTCTTCCCTGATCAGGACATGCACGTACTTAGTGAAATCGCCCATCCTTGGGCCAGCCCAGTCTCCGCCTCCAAGGTGACCGCTGATGATCTGATGTGCAGTGGGCTGTTAGAGAATCTGCAAGCAGTCGAGGTTAGCAAAGCCGCCCCCATTGGGTCGAAGAGTCTCTAGTTCTGATCCTGGCTCTGGCACTTAGAATAGAAATGTGACCTTACAAAGGTCGTGACTTCTCTCTAGACCACCATTTCCCCATCGATGAAACGAAAGAGTTGGTTTAGTCAAACTTTACATTTGTTCAGCTCTAGCGTCTCTGCGACCTTCTGGAGGGTCCACTGTGGTCCCTGCCAGATGAGCACCGGCAGGGGCTGAGCCATGTGTGCCCTCTGGTCATCTCTGGGCTGGTGCATGCGCCTCAGGAACTAGAGGGTTTTGCTCTGAAGATTTCCAGCTTTATTTCTGCTCCTGACAGTGTCTCCTCCAATGTTGCGTCTGCTCCCCCAAATGCTTTATCTATCCCCAGTTCTCTCCCTTCACAGGGGAAAACTTAATGACCCAGCCGCCTTAATAAGAGTCTTACAGAGTGCATGCCTCAGGTTAATTAGCTGTGTAAACCAAACAGCTGTCATTTTTATCTCTTGGAAACAAGCTGTGGAGCAATAGCCAGTGGTCATCCCCTTCTCTCTAACACACACACACACACACACATGCACACACACACATGCACGAGAGAGCACCCATACCCACATGCCACACACCCCAACACATACCCCAACAACCACTGCCTTTCTTTGATGATTGTTTTCTTGTCCCGTGTCTTAGCTAATGTGTAAGAAGAACAACATCTTCATATACATGTTTTTTTTGTTTGTTTGTTTTTGTTTTTTTTTTAGGCAAGGCGATCCTTAGTTGACCGCACAGATTGCAAGGACCTTGTCAGCTTACAATCTTTTATTTTTTTATTTTTACACCTACAGCACCTGGTCTTCCTGGGTGGTTTCCCATCCAAGGACTAACCAGGCCTGACCCTGCTTAGCTTCTGAGATCAGATGGGATCAGGCTTGTTCAGGGTGGCATGGCCATAGACCATCTTCATATAAATGTTAAGAACCTTGTCCTCCTTGCTCTCAGAGGACTTTGAGCCTGTCTCTTTCCGAAGTATCTACCTTCATGCTCCCCACAAGCTCTCAGCAGGTCTGAAACTCCCTAAAGCTCTTACTATCGGATTGGGGATTCACTCTTTTGGATGAAGCATTGTTGAGTTCCTTGTTTAAAATGCAAACACCCTTTATCAACCGTTTCTATCTAAGCAAGGGTATGCTTATGAGAAAACTAGCTGTGGATTTTGCAAAGGGTCCCAAGAGAGTTAGATCCAGAATAAGTAAGTTTTGAGGGGATAGAAGAAAATGGAAAGGGACAATAGAGAAAATAGTTACTATTAGAGGGAAGCAAAACTCGAGTTGGTAGAATGTGAGATTCTTGGGTCCTGGTTGTTACGGGCCGGGGAATATGGCGTGGAGATCTGGAAGGAGAGAAGGGGAAAGGTGTGGTGGGAAGGCCGGGACACAAACCTGGGTGGCCTCGCAGCTCTGCTGGACTGACCTCTCACCCCACTGCTCCTGGGGTTCAGGTCACTAGAAGTCTCAGGGCAATGTCTAGTAGACCTGTCTCATTTCTTAGTCATCAAGAGCTGAAGGGATCGTTGTCACTGGAAGAACCTGCAGGGGTCCAGGTGTACAAATCGACTCTCCACACCAGGTCTAGGCTGACACCTCTTTTTATAGAGCACAGGTCTGAGGTCGAGGCCACCCTTCCCAGGGAGAAGAGAGAGAGTGTCTAGTCCCTTCAGTTTCCCATGGTTGCCAAATGAGGTGGCCCATGTGTTCCTTGAATCATAACAGGACAAGGAGGTTTGGAGGCAGATAGCCTGGGACAGAAACCCCTGTCTCCTCTCTTCCTAGCTCTGTAGACTTGGACTCATTTCTTCACTTCTCTAAGACTTGCTTTCTTAATCTGTGGATATAATATACCTACTTCGAAGATGTCAGAAGGACGAAATGAGCTAACGCAAGTACTACGCTCAGGTACAGTGTAATTTCTGGGTGTGTGGTATATATCATCTCTATAATCAGCTGCAGAAAATGACCTTTCTGAACTTAGTTTGGATGAAGATAAGGGTGGTATAGGGTTAAGGCTTTGGTTAAGATGTTACTTCATGACAAGGAAGATTAAATTGAAGGCACTTCATGGCATCGGGGCACTCCTCCTACCCAACAGTCCAGCAGGCCCTGATTTTGACCTTGGCGGGCTATATCCAGTGACGTAGACATGGTGGATCCCAGTGGGGTCTAGTGGGGGCCTTGCTGATCGAAGGCCTTGATGGGTCCCCGCTTTCCCTGTCCACTTTGCTAGGAAGAATGTTTCTCCAGTGTGACGTCTGGCCCAGGTCTTATATTTCTTTTGCTTCCTTTGCATTCTTATTTGGAGTGTGTAACTTCCGAGCGGATAACCCGCAGTAGGGGAGAATTCTGAGAGCATGTCAGAGTGAGAAGGGACTTCATTATCTCATCTCACCCGTGCACTTTTTTACCGGTGAAAAAGCTGGAGTGGAGGGAATGTCTTTTCTTTCAGGGAGCTGGACTTTCTTGTCCTGGCTTGCTTTCTTTTGGCCCTGGCTGGCAGCCATGACCCTGACATGGACACAGGTGGCTTCTGGCTTGCTCTTGGGAGGGAGCTAGGCCATGGATAACCACAGCCTGCTTTCTCGTTTCCCCAGAATTAGCTCTGTGTTCTGCACAGACTTGAGCTTTGACTTGTCTGCCTTCCTTTCCCACCCTCTCCATTGCGATTCAGGCTCATGCTGGCGCCTGTGCTCTTCTTTGCCCTCCTCGAGCTCTCTGGGAGGGTTTGTCTTCTGGCCAGACTGAGCTGAGCTTCTAGAAGGCTCCAGGATAAGGGAAGAGGCTCAGCCTTTCCAGATGGAAAGCAAGCAGGAGCCAAACTGGCTAAAGGCCTGACAGGCTGGATTGATAATAATGCTGTGTCTCTGCGGCAGCGCAGCCAGGGGAATGCTGGCCAAATGACCTCAGAGAGGGGGCAGCTGCAGCTGAGCATTTCCAGCTCCGAGAGAGACTGGAGGCACGTAACACACACCAGGGGAAGAGCCTCGTGTTGAGAACCTTTCTCTCTCTCTCTCTCTCTCTCTCTCTCTCATGTATTTATACGTACACTACGTAGAGGCATACAAGAATAAAATAGCAAAGGAAACTGAGGCCCAAAGGGGAAGAAGAAATTAACAGCTTATCTTCACGTGGGCTTCTGCCATAAGCTGTTCTATTTCGGGCCTCCATCCCCCTAGCTAGTTGACAAGCAGAACTACTTAAAATACCTGTGGCAAGCCTGCTAGCTTAGCTTGTCTCTAAGGATTGAGATAAATCCCTCCTTTAGCCATGTTACTATGATAAGCAACGCGTTTAAGTGCGTGAGGACATCTGATCCCTCCATCAGTGCCTGTACACATGGAAGGAGCATGGAAAAAGCATGGGCACCCCAGACACTGAAGACTGAGGGAGGAGGCAGTAATAAGCCCATGCTGAATATCTGGGACATTTTAAATTTGTTTTATTTTATAATAACACCTATTTTTCTGAGCATATAAGTCAATATATACCCAAAGTATAAAAGTGTTAAATTATTAAAAAGTAACAAAGAAGGAAAAAGTTTACCTGTAATCCCATTACCCAGAGATATTAGGTTAGACTGCATGTAGTTGCCATTTTTGTAGGTCAAAATGGCTGAATCTCAGCAATTTCATGAGGAAAATAGGCACAATATCAGCTTAATATACAAACATTTTCTATTTCTTTCAAAATATCTTTTTGAGATTATGATATATATACAAGTTTATGTCCATCTTTTTTTTCACGAAACATAAGATAAGCATTTCCCCCGTATTTCTCTAATAACTACATAATAGTCAATCATTTGGGAATATTGAAGGCATTGTCACAATCCCAGCTTGAACTGTTCTAGCTCCTGTGTCCCATAGCCCAAGAAAAGAAAGAACCTTGTTTCTGACACTGTCTTGGCCAGGGAACAGGCTGGGATCAGCTCTCAGCAGGGCTGGGGAGGGAGCTCTGGTGACAGGCCACCGGAAGGCAGCTGGCTCCTGCTTCTCTGTGGAACATGGACCGAGTGGAGACAGCGGATGGGGAGTGGAAAAGTTTGCTCCTGAGAGGCTGGGCAGAGTGGAGAGAAGGGTGTGCTCACTGTCAAGGACCAAGATGGGATTCTGGAGAGTCACATTCCAGCAAGAGGCTTCTCTGGCCCAGAAGGGATCGTTTTAAGTGCTCAGGTGTTTAATTCAGCCGCTGACACATCTGTGGGCTCTGTGTTGACTGAGGTGGGTCAACCTGAGAAGCAGGCTTTCTTCTCAAGGTGTTTTCCTCTGCCTTGGCTTCCCACATGGCCGGTTTCAAGGTCAGACAAGCCCTTTGGGTGAGACAGAAATTGTCCCATTTTACCATGCTTCCCATGATGTCTGTGCGCCCAGCTGGTTTCCTCATGGAAATGAGCGATGAAAGGAGGGAGGGAAGGAGGGGAGGGGAAGGGAGAGGAGGTATTCTCTCTGGTGCCCGTGCTGGAGAGGAGGGATTCTCACTGGCTGTCAGGCAACAGGAAAGCCACACAGCCTCTTTGAACCTCAGCTTCTCACATGTAAAACGGGAATCATGCTGCTGACCACGTGGGTTTGCTGTGGGGCTTAGATAGGTTATGTATTGAGACTCCTCACACAGTACCCGGCACATGGCGGGCACTCCACCCCTTACTACTGACCTTTTGTTACCTCCTCACTCCCCGCCCCTCCTTTTAGACTCCCCAAGTGCAGGAAGGAAGTGTCTTGTAATAACATTAATGAAAATGTTAGTGCTATTGAGCATTTACTATTCACTCGACCGGTATTTATGGAGGACCTACTATGCGCCGGGCACTTTTCTCAGCCCTGGGAATACAGCAGTAAAGGAAAGTGAGTTCTGCTCTCCTGGCCTATCCATTCTAGCATGGGGAGGCAGACAATACACAACTCCTGTAAGCAAATAAATGGATGATAAATGTCAAGTGGAGATACGTACTATGTGCTATGAAGAAAAACGTGGTAGGGGCAGGAAATGGACGGGGCGGAGAGAAGCCAGGGGGCCGTGGTGCTGTTCCACGCAGGGCCCCGTGCAGCCATGACTGGAGCATTAACCATCCGAAAAAATTTCTTGTTTAAAAAAGCACTTTTGGACACGACGAGGACAGTCCCAAGCCCCGGTGTTTCTGGCTTTGGGGGCTGTGAAGCTAAGCAGGGCCTAGCACAGAGCGCGTGCTCATTAGATTCGTGGAATGATTAAATGACTCTATCCCAACCTCCACCCAATTTACAGAGGAGAAAACTGAGCTCAGAAAGTGGGGTAACAGAGCTAGAACTGGATCCCCAAGTTCCCTTGTTCTGTTTTGATGTCTCTTCTCCCTGATCCTCAGAAACTCAGTTTTCTCCAGGCTGCCAGGATTAAGCGAGAGATGTGAAACTCTGTAGCCTGCATTTAGCACATAGTAGGTGCTAAATTAATGTGTTTCCTTTTTTTTCTTTTCTTTTTTTTTTTGACACCCTTTTCAAGTTTCTCTTTTAGGCAATGTCATCTACCAAAGATTTTTCTTCTACCTCATACTCTGTTCCAACCATAATACCTACATTGTATTCATTTAGCTACATGTTAGGATGGACACAAAGGAATTAAAGAATGGCCAATAGCCTCGTTTTTACGAGGTTAATCTTTCCAAGTGTATTAATCAGTGGCTCTCTAGGGCGAGGATTTCCGTGGAGGGAATGTTCTGGGCTCTCAGGACACGAGGGGACAATTCTATGTGGACCCCATCACTGAGTGTCCGCTGTCTCCTTGCTCCACAGTGGCAGATGAAATGCTGCAAGTGTGACTCCAGGTTGCCTCACAATTACAACAGTCATCGAGTGGAGAACGTGGCTTCGTCCTCAGGCCCCACCCGCTGGTGGCAGTCACAGAACGGTAAGGGCCTGCCACCTACAGGGGCCCAGACTTGTGGAGTCTGGGAACCCTTTGGTTTTCCCGGGCAGTTTTTCACTGCACTGGGATATGAGCGGTTGACGGGCAGAAACTTCCGCCTCCATATTTGGTCTCTCAGGCGTTGTGTGTAGAAGAGTTAAGAGTTACTGGAAGTTAAGGGACAGGTAGGAGGAGAGGGGAGTCCCTCTATTCCACTCTGCTTACTCACCATGGGCTTGTTGAGGGGACCGAGTCTCGAGGACGGGTCCATGTTGTACGGACAGGTCGAAACTCTTTCAGGTATTAGCGGTACCAGGTGATGGTGGGAAGGAAATTTTGCCAAGCGTGGATAGGATCTTGAATAGTTAATATAAGCAGAAAAATGCTGGTGCCATATTCCTTTCTGAGGGAAATCAGAGGATCGAGCGAGAGTGCCTCTGCCTTCCTGGGGCTGCTAGAGTCCAGAGCCTTCTTCAGGAGAGGCAGGTGGAAATTCTCTGGTCTAAAGTTCCTACTTTTTGTCCTTCTAGATGTCAACCCTGTCTCTCTGCAGCTGGACCTGGACAAGAGATTCCAGCTTCAACACATCCTGATGGATTTTAAGGTATGTTTCCTGGGGATGGCAGTGGATAGGAGAGGGACCCTGGGCCATGTGGGCTTAGACGCATGGGGGGCACGGAGCTCTTGTCTGCCCAGGCTGGGTGACACTTACTCTGACCCTATATCACAGTGACAGCAGAGGCCCCACTCAAGAGAGAGCAGTGGCACCTCCAGGCTCCCTGTCTTGGCCATGCAGTGATGATTATCTGCCTCCTCTCAGCATCCCCCACCCTCAGTCCATCTAATTCATTCATCTCTGCCAAGCAGCGGTTCTGCTGGCTGGGCCTGTCACTTATTATACGGTTTTTATTCTTGGTATACTCTGTTTTAATAACTTTGCTGATGAGCTTGAGTCTAATAAACAGCCAGAACTGGCCCGTCCACATGAAAGCTGCGCTTCGAAACAGCCCTTCTGAAGCAATCTACTCATTCAGGGCTGTTTCTTCTCAGAGGACTTTCGGATTCTGCTTTTAGACTAACCTCTGACATACTCCTTTGGGAGGGAACTTTTTTCCCTTTTTAATTTGTGACAGGCGATTTTTTTTTTCTTTTCAGAAAAGATTTGATTTTATTCATTCTACAGAAATAGACGTTTAAGGATCAAGTGTGGTTAATAAGATTGGATGATAGGGAAGGGCGATCGTCGGGACTTAAAATGAGTTGTGAAAGGAAAAGCAATAGGACCTAATTTCTTGTGTGACTAAGGAAGTTAGTTCTAGGAGCCTCGCCCCAAGAAAAGGTCAAAAGTATTTTGAGACGTGGCAGTGTCATTGGAATACATGCCCAATCTGTTCCGGTGACAGCTTTGAGGAGCACCATTCATTTCGATGGATGCTGTGAGTTTCTTTGTTTGACGGTCACTCACCCATTCATGTATCTGTCCATTCTTGCTCCGGACATACGGAACAGTGATTGCATGTTAAGGTCGGTGCCAGATGTCAGGGATACAAACGATGAGTAAAGCTAAATCACAATCCTCAAGTTGCCTCAGTTTTTGTAGGGAAGACAAAGAAACAGTAGTGAGAGCGTGTGATGTGCGCTCTGATTCTGCTAAGAAGAGGTGCTGGGGAGTGTGGGACGGGGCATCTCGTCGGTGCGTCTTGTCTCGATGGGGCGTGGTGTCAGCGAACACGTTCAGGGCGAGATGAGCCTTTCTAGACCAGTAATAGCCAGGCGAAGGGCGAAGTTTATTCCAGGTGGAGAGAACAGCAGAGCACAAAGGTGAAGGGGCAAGAGACAAGAAGGTATCTAATTGGGGAGGAGGAAGGTACGTCGGGTCTGGAGGGAAAACCGTGTGTTCGTGGTGAGAGGTAGGGATGTGGAGGGCCGCAAAATGGTGAGAGCTGAGTTTACAGATTTCGATGGGGAGAGCGGAGAGCAGACTAAAGACTCACCTATTCATTCAGCAAATGTGGACTAAGCACCTACTGTGTCCTGGATGCTGGGGGCACAGCTGTGAATAAGACAGACGAGGAGCCTGTGCTTTACTGTAGCGGGTCTCAACCGGGAGATATTTGGCAATTTCTGGAGATAGTTTTGGTTGTCGCGACTGTGGTTATGCTATTGCCATCTACTGAGCAGGGGTCAGGGATGCTGCTCACCATCTTATAATGACCAGTACAGCGGCCGCCAGCATGTTTAGGAGTCTGTTTCTGTGATTGTGTCTCCAGGCCTTCTGGCCCTTCAGTCACTCAGACCCCGCCTTCTCTGTCACTGCAGGGGCCCATGCCCGCTGGAATGCTGATCGAGCGCTCCTCAGACTTCGGCAAGACCTGGCAGGTGTACCAGTACCTGGCTGCTGACTGCACCTCTGCCTTCCCCCGTGTCCGTCAAGGCCAGCCTCAGAGCTGGCAGGACGCTCGGTGCCAGTCTCTGCCCCAGAGTCCTAACTCACACCTAGAAGGAGGGAAGGTATGTAGAAAGGACCCTGAAAAAGTAGCCATGGGGAGGGATCTTCAACAGCCCATCACTCACTCCTTCGTCCAGACTCAGGAACGGATGAGAACCCGCTGGGCGGTGCTCCTTCCTGTCTTTCCTGAGCTCTCCACCCTCACAACACTTGCCGCTCGTCCTCTTTGCTGCCCAGGAGGGGTAGTTCAGAAACCGTGGAGAGCACTGCATGGCCCAGCCCTGCTCTCTGCCGTGGCCTCCTCCCCCACAGCCCGATGGCCCATCCCCACAGTGGACAGGGTACAGCCAGCTTTGCTCCAGTGCGAGGACTTTGAGATGGCCAGTTAGATTCAAGTGAGCAAATCACACTAATTTAATTTAGTCTCTGATTTCACCTTGGTAAAGCTTAACGTGAGAATGACCTTTCTCCATTTAATCCATCTATCGAGCCTCATCCTCACCCATGAGAAAATTCTGGTACAAGCCACAGCTCCAGGTGGCCTGGACTTAAACCCTGAGCTAAAAATGAGAACCTGCCTCTGGAAGCATCTCCGAATGCCTCTTCCTGAACCCTCCTACGTGGGGCAAAATCGTTCCATTTCTCTCGTACCTACTTTTCCCCGCTGCCGCTGCCGTGGGAGGCTTTCTCGGACCGGCTAGGGCGCCCTCACCACGTGCTCCGAGGGCCGCCCTCCCTGAGAGCAGCGCGTCTCATCCCTCCTCTGCGACAGCTGCTCCTTGGTTAAATCGCAGCCAGATCCACGATGGCCGCATTCTCCAGACCCCAGATTAGAACACAGGACATTTTCCTGACTTGTGAGAGGTGGAAGACGCTTCTTGGGAAAGGAGATAAAGTCTCATCTGATGAATGGTTTTTAATAAAAAGAAATAGTATAGTTGAAATTCGAGTCTCAAGGGTGGTGGTCGCCATATCTCTGCATCCCTGGGCTTCTGGATTTTCTCATTCATCCTGGGTTTTGGACAGTTAGTGCCCCTTGAACCTTTATATTTACATGATATATCTTACTGTAATTTCTGACACAAGGAAATGAGGAAATTCTTGGGATTGTTGTATTTTCAATTGAGAGATTGTTCTCTCTCTTTCTCTCCCTTCTCCTCCACCTCCCACCGCCCCCCGCCGCCTGTTTCTCTCTCTCTCTCTCTCTCTCTCTCTCTCTCTCTCTCTCTCTCTCTCTCTCGGCTTGACCAGAGAGGGTGGTCAGAGCCTTCACATCCGCTGTCCGCTCCGCTCAGCTTCCAGGTTAGGAGGACCTCAGTGGAGCACGTAGAGGGCGGGTCGTTGAATGGGAAGGAGACTTCTGAGCTCAGGACACTGTTTCCTCCTTCCTCAGGGCCTCCCTTCCCTTTCTCTGTAGGTCCAGCTTAACCTTATGGATCTAGCTTCTGGGGTTCCAGCAACTCAGAGTCAAAGAATTCAAGGTCAGTGTGGCTACCCCTCTAGCTGGGGACTGTGGGTGGGCAACAAAACAGTGTTGGAACCCAGGTCACAGGACCTTCCTGCTTACCCCATAGAGGTACTGGGGTGGTCCCAGAGACTCAAAGGGCCTGAGCTGGAGAGGGTAGGGGTGTCTTTTCTGCTGTGGGAGGGTTGAGGGCTGCGGAAAATGGCCCCCGGAATAGCCTTCGGAAGGCAGGGAAGAAGGGACGGGCAAACCAGAATGCCTTTCCTTATCCTCCCCGCCCCAGGAGACTATTTGCCTCTAACTTCTTTATCCACCCCCGCCCCTTGTTGTCTGCCTCTTCTCAGAGCTGGGGGAGATCACAAACTTGAGAATCAACTTCACCAGGCTGGCCCCCGTGCCCCAGAGGGGCTACCACCCCCCTAGTGCCTACTATGCAGTGTCCCAGTTGCGTCTGCAGGGCAGCTGTTTCTGTCACGGCCACGCTGACCGCTGTGCCCCCCAGCCCGGAGCCCCTGCCGGCCCCTCCACCACTGTGAAGGTGACAGTCCAGGGTGGGAAGGGCACGGGGTGGGGGCGACCAGAGCGTGCTAAGAACATCCTCGAGGCTCCCGTAAGGCAGGGTAGGTGCTAAACTGGAGACGTGGGTATTTAATATTTTAGCAATGGCGAAAAAAGTGTAAGTGGTTATTTCAGAGGTCCGAATTTTGTAGCACTTCCTTAGACCTGCACTATGGGGTGGGATGGTTTTTATTTTCAGTCGCATGTGAGCGTAGGCGTGGGAGTGGAGCGAGCACCAGGCCATGCTTCTCGACCCTGGCTACATGTGATAATTTCCTGGGGAGCTAAAAATATTGCCCAGACGCCCACATTCAGATACTCAGATTTTGTTATTGTTTTTTTAAGGCTTCCAGACAATTTTAATGTACTGCCAGGATTAAGAGCCCCTGGTCTGAGGACTCTAAGCTCCCCTCTAGTGATGAGAGCTGGGACAGGGAGAGAGAAGAGTCTTAACACAGATGCCAGGTGCGTCCCAGACCACCTGAATCGGGTGCCTCAGAGACTGGAGTGAGAAGCTCCAGCTTGCTAAGCAACCCAGGGATTTTGCTGTGAAGCCAAACTTGAGAACCACGAGTAGAGGAGGACCCTGGGCCAGGAAGAGGGAGCTGTCATTTCATGGTCCTGGGGCTTTCGTTCTGTTAACATATGGGAACGTGATGTTTGCCTTACCGATAGGTGGGCACACGGAAATTGTGTAGAATGGCCTGCGAGGGAGGGAAACGTAAAAGGAACATTGCTCAGCTTTATTCTTTCAACTTCTGGGCCAGCTCCTGTCCCGGGGTCCCCAGGGGGCCAGAGGGAGACCAGCCCCAGGAGTGTGCCATCTGTTGGGGCCACAGACAAGGACCAGCCGGGGGACTGCCGGCCAGTGCCACGTGCTGTGCGCGGGGGCGGAGGGAGAGGACACGCCTGCTGTTCTCAGATCTGGCCGTACGGGGAAATTGCCACTTTTAGAAAGTGACGATGCCTGGCACTTGTCCCTGAGTTTCAGATTGAATTGGGCCTGTGGTTGGTACTTTTTAAAAGGCTCCCCAGATGATTCTGAAGTATATCCAGGGTTGAAATCCACGGGACTAGAGGAACCAGGGAGGCCTGGTGAAGGAGATGCCGTTCTAGTTGGCGGGATAGAGAAGGGTATCCCAGGTAAAAAGAAACACGTTCGTGAAAGGCCAGAGGTGGGGAAAGGCAGGGCTTGCAGAGGAAGCGGCTAGAGCTCAGCTAGGCCTCCCTGCCAGGAGAGAGCGGGAAACAAGAATGGAACAAACATGCAGATCCTTGAATGCCAGGCCGAGGGTGTTGGGCTTAATTTGGGAGACAATCAGCACACAATAGCTCTTCTATTTTTATATCTTAATGAGTCTGGTAACAACTCATCATGCAGTGCAATTAGCCAAACAACCTCAGTCATAGATTGTTGGAATAGAAATCTCTAGAGGGCTCACAAGCTTCTAGAATCACAGTTTACCAACGAGGGTGTCTGAGCACCTTCCCGATGCTGCTTTAGACGGGGCATGACGGGGTGTCCAGGTGCAAGGAACGCGCTTGTAAAAACCTAGCCAGAGCAGCAGTGCAGACACAGGGCACACCCGTGTGCACATGTGCACACGCACACACACAAACACATAAGCAGGCCGTTGAGAGTCGCAGGAGTTGAATGGAGGCTGGAAGAGCTGGGATCTGAGCTGGATTCTGAGGGGCGGGTGGACGGGTCGGCGGAGAGGGAGGGCAGCTCCATCTTGGGGAATGCTTTGATCGCTGTTCCTGACCTGATGACTGATGGCCCCTCTCCTAGGTCCACGATGTCTGCGTCTGTCAGCACAACACCGCAGGCCCCAACTGTGAGCGCTGTGCACCCCTCTACAACAATCGGCCCTGGAGACCTGCAGATGACCAGGATCCCCATGAATGCCAAAGTATGACCGGGCGGGGCGCTGGCCCCTCTGGGCCTCAATGACCTTTCCAGGGACACAGGGAGAATCCATTCTTTATTATTTAAATGTAATCTTAGTCGCAGTCCTGCAGTCTAAGCTCTCCTTGCTCGGTGGGGATAGAGAGAGTATTTGGGTTGTAGCTGCCTCTTCCATCCTTCTCCTCATCCAGGCCTGGAGGGACCAAAGCTTCGATGCTTCCATGCTTTAATGCTCCATGGCTTCTTCAAGATCCTTCTTTTACTGTTCCCTCCACTTGCCTTATCCTGTGTGGGACGCATCTCGTTTCCTACTTCGAATGGTCCCCTGGAGTCAGGGCCTTTCTTTGCATAAATGAGGGAAACGGGGGAGGGTTCCCAGCCCAGAGAGAGGCAGTGACCCAGTGGGAGGTCCCTGGTGGCAATGGGGGTGAGTTGGGATGGACCATTCAAAGAATTCTCTCTTTGGCCCAACATGGCCATTATTCTTGGATTAGTTCCCACACTGGGAGTCAGGAGGCCTGAGTTCTCATTCTACTCTGCTTTCTTACTGGCCTTAAATAAATTACACAAGGCTCCCCGGGCCCCAGTTTCCGCATTTCCCAGATCTGAGTATGTGGCAGAGTCACTAGAGATGCCAACAAGTTAGCGAAGCCGTGCTTCGTCGATGGCGAAGGTGCTGGTCCAGCGTCAGCTTCGTCGAAGGCGAAGGTGCTGGTCCAGCGTCAGCCTCGGCTTCTACTTTTCCAGGGTGTGACTGCAATGGGCACTCAGAGACGTGTCACTTCGACCCAGCTGTGTTTGCCACCAGCCAAGGGGCACATGGAGGGGTGTGTGACAACTGCCGGGACCACACGGAGGGCAAGAACTGTGAGCGGTGTCAGCAGCACTACTTCCGGAACCGACGCCCTGGCGCCCCCATCCAGGAGGCCTGTATCCGTAAGGAGGGGCTCCCGGGGAACCACCTGTCCCTCTGGACACAACAGAGCACATGTACCTGGAGACACATAAGGCCTCAGGAAGTGTGATGAGTTGATCGTGTGTCAGGACGTGTGGGCCATTGTTTTAACTTAGCTGTGCACTTCTAAGCAAATCACCTAACTTCTCCAGACCATCAGTCAATCAGTCAGTCATTACGTAGACTTTATTGTGGGCATAGGAGAGAAAAAAGTGAATAAGATACAATTTCTGCTGTTAAGAAACACACACACTGTTTGATGATATAAACCTTACACACTTGAGAAAGAGGGACAAAGCAGTGTGTCTTTTATGTGTCATTGCCTTTACGTGCTGTAACGTGGTTTGCTCTATAGTGTTCTGTGTCCCCCAGCACTGAGAATTCCTCCATGTCAGGGGTTATATCTGGTATCTTCAGGCCCTAGCACAATGACAAACAAATAACTGATGCCCCAAGAATAAAACAATGAGTGTAATGTGATGGAACACCCCAGAGTGACTTAACACGTGCGCAAGGGCCAGTGCGTTCAAACGAGCGAGCAGATGGGATGGAAGCAATCTGACTCAGGTGCGGTGAATCGGGAGCGACTTTCTAGAGGAAGAAACGGTCTGTTTTGAAAGGCATGAATGAGATGGGTGATGGTGGAAGACAGGAGAAAGCTGGGCCACTTCCTGTTGATAATATTTGTTTATGGAAAGAGTAAGAAAAACAAGTCGACTTCTGTTTCCAGCACTTCCTGGCTGTGTGACCTGAATACGTTCTTCACCATCTCTGAGCCTCGGTTTTTCCGTCTGTACAGTAGTGATAGGTGTCTCCACCTCTCAGGGTTATCGTGAGGACTGCCTAAGGCGACATGCACGAGTACCCAGCTCAGGGCTTGGCACAGAGTAGTTGTTCAATAAAGAATGACAAGACTTGTACAGTATTTGACATGTGCCAAGCCCTGTTCCACCTGCTTCACATCTACTCATTTATTCCCCATAGGAAGCCTATGAGGGTTGTGTAATTATCCCCGTTTTACAGATGAGGAAACTGAGGCACAGAGGGATTAAATGATTAAGGTATAAGGTCGTGAGCCAGGAAGTGGTGGAACAAGGACTTGTACCAAGTGGTCTGGCTCCTATGACCTGCCCTGAACTTTCTGCTTTTTTTGGTTCTTTTATATTCCTAATGTGGTGGGTGCTTTTTTCTCTCAGCCTGCGAGTGTGACCCGGATGGAGCTGTGCCGGGAGTCCCCTGTGACCCAGTGACCGGGCAATGCGTGTGTAAGGAGCACGTGCAGGGGGAACGCTGTGACCTGTGCAAGCCGGGATTTACAGGACTCAGCTCTGCCAACCCGCAGGGCTGCCACCGTGAGTAGGGGGGCCCGCCTGGCATGGCGTGGGTCAGTCTGCGTAGGGCCACCAGAACCGTGACACGCCCTGCTCATCAGGCTGTGTTTCGGATGCTGTGCCACTGGCCTCCAGCAGGTGGCAGCACAGCCCTAGGTTGGAAGGTGGGACTGAGTCAGCCAGCCGAAGGGAGGGCCCTCAGCCAAGCCACCAGGTGCTGGAATTGGTGGGAAATGCAGAGGATTTATGAGTCAGCCAGATTATGTGGAGGGATCGGCCCGCCTGGTTCTACTCCCGGGCTGGGCCCCCTCCTGGCGTACGTTCTCTGGGGGTGAGTTTTTGGTGAGCTGTCCCTCAACCTCATCCGCTTTTGCTCCTGCAGGCTGTGACTGCAGTGTATTGGGGTCTCAGCAGGACATGCCATGTGACGAGGAGAGTGGGCGCTGCCTGTGTCTGCCCCATGTGGTGGGACCCAAATGTGACCAGTGTGCTCCCTACCACTGGAAGCTGGCCAGCGGCCGGGGCTGTGAGCCCTGTGCCTGTGACCCAAACAACTCCCTCAGCCCCCAGTGCAACCAGGTACACAGCGAGGGTGGCCCCTGAGCCTCCCATCAGCATGTGCAGCCCCCACGCTGCTCCTCTGGGCCTTTCCTAAGTCAAGCTGGGCCGCTTCAGTCCCCAACCCCGGGGAAGGCCACCAGCATCCCTCCCTCGGTGGCTTGGAGCTCTGGCGATGCCTGTTTGCCACCCCTTTGTGAGGCCATCCTGGGCTTTGACTTAGGAGCTTGTCTCTGAGTGGGGGCCCTAGTCCGGGGACCCTGGTTTGGAGGCTGCTGCCTCGGGGAGGTTCTGCCAGCCCGGGCCCGTGAAGGAGGCTCCTGCACCGTGCTCTCCCCTCCAGTTTACAGGGCAGTGCCCCTGTCGGGAAGGCTTTGGGGGCCTGATGTGCAACGCTGCAGCCATCCGCCAGTGTCCCGACCGGACCTATGGAGACGCAGGCACGGGATGCCGCGGTATGCTCCGCCAAGTGGGGGGTGCTGAGCCTGTGGGGGGGTGAGCATTTGGAGGGGCTCGCGGTGGGGGTGCGTGGTCCGTGGTAGGGGAGGACATCTGTAGCCACACATCTGATGTGGGCCCTGGTGGCCCCGTGAGAGCACATGGTCCCCGCTGCTCTGGCCAGCCCGCTAGGCCTTCCAGCCCTGGGCCAGTGACATCGAGCCGTCCTCACGTCCCCACGACAGGAGGGTTACTTTGCTCCCCAATCCCTGAGCAAGCATTTCCCAGAGCCACCTCCAGGGCCTCAGCAGGGAGGCAAGGAGGAGGATGCTTCTTCCCTCCTCGTAGACGAGGAAATGAATCCTCGGGGGTGGGGAGGCGTGCGGTCCCCAGAAAGCCAGTCTGACAGCAGCCACAAGAGCTCGGGGACCTGGGCCTGGGCCCAGCCCAGCCTCGGCCTTACCGCGTCGTGCGGGGCGCGTCGCGTGCTCTCTGTGGGCCTCAGTTGCCTCATCTATAAACACGAGAGTGCAGGGGCGGCCGGCTCTGTCACGGAGTCGCTGTGGAAGTCAGATGAGTTGCCGCGTGTGTGGAGAGTGTGAGACTGAGGACAGTACCTGGCACGTAGTCCGTGCTGGGAAAGTGCTCGCTTTTGTTTCTGTCATCACCAAGATTTCACTCTGACCTCGACAGTCTATTAACGTCAGAAAGAACCTCAGGTCAGACCTCCTCTTGAGCGTTCCCCACCAGATACCTTGGTCTCCCTGACCCCGGCCTCATTTCTCCCCGCCCTAGCCTGTGACTGTGACTTCAGGGGAACCGAGGGCCCAGGCTGTGACAAGACCTCAGGCCGCTGCCTCTGTCGCCCTGGCTTGACCGGGCCCCGCTGCGACCAGTGCCAGCGAGGCTACTGTGACCGCTACCCAGTGTGCGTGGCCTGCCACCCTTGCTTCCAGGCCTATGACGCCGACCTCCAGGAGCAGGCCCTGCGCCTCAGCAGCCTCCGAAATGCCACCGCCACCCTGCGGCCCGGGCACGGCCTGGAGGACCCCCGCCTGGCCTCTCGGATCCGGGATGCAAAGAGCAAGATTGAGCAGATCCAAGCAATTCTCCGCAGTGCCCCGGTCACGGAGCAGGAGGTGGCCCAGGTGGCTAACGCCATCTTTTCCATAAGGTAACTCTATTTCCTGCCAAGCACTTATGTCAGGACAGCCCTTTACAGTTTACGAGGCATTTTTCATGTACCTGCTCTTACCTATCACAACAGTCCTGTGTGGGTGTCATTACTTCCATTTTCAGATGAGGAAACAGGCACAGATAGGTGATGTGACAGAGTCACGAGGCCACCAAGGGGCAGAGCATGGCCTCGGAGCACAGCCTGGAGCCCACACCCAGCATTCTTTCAAGTGCTCGGCCTGCCCGTGGGAGAGTCAGCTCTGGATTAGTCAGCCTGGTGGAGGGCATCCGAGAGGCAGGGGCTCTAAAAATAACTTGTATTTGCCTTGGGAATGGGAGCGGCCCCACCTACACCCACCTCCTACCAGCAGGGGCTCCTTCTTAGTGAGATTTGGTTCTGGAAGCGGCTATAACTCGTTTTCATTCCCAGACTGTCGTGCTCAGAGCCGTCCAGGTGTGTGATTGGCCTGAGTCTCACAATTGAGTAGCGAGTCCATAGGCCTTTGGTAGGCTGGCAGCGCGGGTGTGGAAGGGTGGTCCGTGCCTTAGCAAAGCCTGGAGGTGGAGAATGCGATGCGGGGGAGTTGGTGGTTGGTGGAGCTGCCAAGGGCATAGGGAGGGGAATCGGGGCAGATGAGCCCCTGCAGGTGGAGATGAGCAGGGGCCGCAGCTGTGGGAGCTCCGTGTGGGGCGTGGACTGCAGGAGAGAACCTCGGTGTCTGGGCTGTACAGGTGCTGGCTGAATCAGCCTGCAGTGAGCCGGGGAGCAGGGTCGGGGCGGTGCTCCTCGTGGAGGTGGAGGAGATTCGGGGGTGTCAGGGTCACACACGTTAAGGAAGGAGAGGTTTTTCTGGATCTGCCTGCAGAGGGGTGGAGGGGAGTTAGGCCGGCGCCCCCGGCCCCTGCCCTGCAGGATCCTCTTCAGCCTTGGGATCCTCCTCCTGTTGCCTCTGCTGAGGCCTCTGCTTCTCCTAACTCAGTAGCCGTTTCTCCAAGGGGAGGGCTGGTTCTGGGGAGGCGACCCCCACCTATATGTTAGTGAAAGCTCCTCTCCTGTCTCAGGCGGACTCTCCAGGACCTGCAGCCCAATCTGCTCCTAGAGGAGGAGACCCTGGCCCTCCCGGGAGACCTGGAGAATCTGGACAGAAGCTTCAACCGCCTCCTCATTATGTACCAGAATAAGAGAGAGCAGTTTGAAAAGATGAGCAGTGCTGATCCTTCGGGTGAGGAGTCGGTGCTCGGACAGCCGCAGGCATCACCGTGTCACACCTCGTCTCCCCTCCCGCTCCTGCATCCCTGCGCCTGGCCTCCGGCCTCCGGGTCCAGGGGCCACTCAGTTTTTCTCTCCTCTCCCCGCAGGAGCCTTCCGGATGCTGACTGCAGCCTACCAGCGGTCATCCCAGGCCGCCCGGCAGGCCTCTGACAGCTCCCGCAGGCTTCTCCAGCTCAGGGACAGCCGGAGAGAGGCAGAGGGGCTGGAGCAGCAGATAGGAGGAGGGGCTGCCAGTGGCCCTCATCTCGCAGCCCTGAAGCTGGGGTTGGCTTCTTTGCCTGATCTGACACCCACCGTCAACAAGGTGAGTCATGGCATGGAGCCCCGCTTCACGGAGCCCCACCCCAGCTTGTCACACACTAGCTGCTGCTACATGTTTCCTGTTAGGGCAATGTGAACCTATCCCACTCCCCAGCCCATCCTGACCCTTGTCCCCTCATGGGTGTGCTCAGTGGTTGCCAAGGAAACAAGTTTCTGGTGCCCCGTTGCCATGGAGATGTCTGGCTGTTTGTTTTCTGGGTGTGGGATGGGAGAGGTTGTTGAGGAGCCGTGAGTACCCTGTTGGATGCCCCCCTCTCTCCGCAGCTCTGTGGGGGTTCCAGGCAGACCGCCTGCACCCCAGGAGCCTGCCCTGGTGAGCTCTGTCCCCGAGACAACGGCACGGCCTGCGGCTCCCACTGTAGAGGTGCCCTCCCCAGGGCCGGTGGGGCCTTCCGGACGGCGGGGCAGGTGGCCCAGCAGCTGCAGGGCTTCAACGCCCAGCTCCAGCAGACCAGGCAGATGGTAGGTGTGGCCAGGGTTGGGTGGGCACCTGTCAGAGGTGGCAGAGGGGACAGAGCCCCTGGGCAAGTCAGTTCCCACTTTACGGTCAGGAGATGAGGGAGCAGAGATGTCCGGTGACCTGCCCCAGGCCCCATAGCAAGTGACAGGTGGAGTTTGGGGCCAATGTTTCTGGCTTTTTAAAACCTGACTCCACGTCATTTTTCTCTGGGACCAAACTGGGTTAGTCACACATGTTTCCCAGGCAGATCGTGGGCAGCGGGTGTCCACAGAATCATGGGGGTTGCTGGGGGGCCCCCTGGGGCTTTGGCCACCTCTGACTACAGTGTGTGTCGGCAGATTAGGGCGGCCGAGGAAGCTGCCTCGCGGGTGCAGTCAGATGCGCAGCGCCTGGAGACCCAGGTGAGCGCCAGCCGCTCCCAGATGGAGGAGGACGTCAGGCGCACACGGCTCCTCATCCAGCAGGTCCGGGACTTCCTCTCCGGTGAGCCTGGACTTGACCCTGCCCTGGGCGTGCGTTTCCCTCCTGCTGTCCTGGAAGCACAGCCAGCCGCCCTTTGTCCTGGCCGCCCTGTCACTCGCCTGGCTGGCTGCCATGGCCTTCCAGTGGTTTTCCTGCCTCTGCTCCTGCCGCCCAAGGTTCAGTCTCAACAGAGCAGCCTGAAACATCTTTGAAAAATGTGTACACGGAGTCACATCCTACCTGTGCCTAAAATCCTGCCTTGGCTTCCCCTTGTTCTTGGAACAAACGCCCAACTCCTAATCATGGCCTCTGCTCACCTCCTGGGTGTGGACGGTGTCCTCCCTCTGCACACCGGCTCTCCTTGAACAGGCCGGGCTGTTGTCCACCTCGAAACGTTTGCTTGCTCTGTCTCTACCTGGAATGCTCCCTCCAAGGCTGCTGATTCTTACCCTTCAGGTCTCAGTGTAAATATCTCCCTAGAACCTACCTGGTTGTCCCCCTTCCCTCCCAGTCCCCTTGACCTTCACTGCACTGTCTGAGCCTGCGTTGTGGGATTCATTTGCCTGCGAGGGGATCGTTTGCCTTCTCGCTAGACTGTGAACTCCCCGAGGGCAGGGATGGCTGTCTGTCTTGTTCACTGTGTCACTGGAGCCTAGCATAAGGCCAGACACCCAGCGTCGGTCGAATGAACAAACGAACCGGATCCCCTCCCTCGCCGCCCTGGCGAGTGGAAAGATCTCTGGCTAGGACTCAGGAACCTGCGTGACGCTGCACAAGTTGCTTTTCTCTGTGCCTCATCCTTTGCTTCTGCAAACGGGGATGGTAGTATTTCATGAGTTTATTCTGGGGATCGAGTAACTGATGTAAAATGTGTTTTGAAAAGTTAAAGATGCCTCAGGAATATGAGTTGATATTATTAGATTTCTAGTTCCTGCCAGGGAATTTACTTGGCTGGGAGCCCAGTTAATAGGAGCTGAGGGCGTGGTGTAACAATGGCAGTTCTTGCTACTATGTGCTGCTGCCTTTGCTCTGAATGGGCCGAAGCCCTCCTGAGTTTGGACAGCAGGCCAGAGAGGGGCAGGAAGGGTCTGCTGGGGTCCCCTGGCTTGACCGAGGCCATGCTGGAGCCAGCCTCCCTGACAGCCCCAGGATGGGGAAGAGAGTTACCTGGGGGTACAGGGAGGTGGTGCCCAGCAAACGGGGACGGAAGGGCAGGCCGAAGTTTGGGGCTCAGACTCACAGATAAGGAGGCCTTCCCCTGATCATGCCAAATGGAGCTGAAGGACCACCCACACCGCATCAGCCCCGGCCTGTGGGCAGGAGGTGGGTAGGAAGTCTCGCCTTGGGGTGCAAGGCCCATGGAACAGGCAGGGTACTGCGGGCCGTGGGGCCCTTTTCACCCTCTCAGTTACACTTGTGTCTCAGGTCAAGTCCTATCATGGAGCCAGGGGCAGAAAGAACCAGGGACCCAGGACAGTTCTCACAGTTTCCAGGGCACAGGTGCTGGTCTGCAGGGGGTGCGGGTACCAGTTGCTGTTGGCACGCAGGGTCACAGCGTCCGGGGGAGGCCTGAGGACGACGCCCCTTCCCACGTCTTCAGATGGGATTGACAAAAATAATAGTTCAGGTTTACCAAGTTCTTACTAAGTGACAGGCACTGTCCTACGTGCTTCGCATTGATTACCTTATTTAATCGCCACTGCCTGCCGCTTTGCGATGAGCACTCTAGGCACAGGGAGGTTAAGTAACCTTGCTAAGGGCATCCAGCCTGGAGGGAGTACAGGTAGGATTCATCTCATCTCAGTCTGTAGTCAACATCTTAGATTAATGCACTACGAGACAGACTCACTCTCTCTCTCTCTCTCTCTCTCTCTCTTTCACACACACACACACACATACACACGCACGCATGCACGCATGCACACACAGATATATCCTTGCCTTTGCTAACGTTTTTCCTCCCCCTGGATTATCTTCCCTCCCCACCTCTCCTGACCTGGCTAATTCTCACGCATCCTCTCAGAATCCTCCAGGTACCCCACTCTCCAGGCTGCCTCCCTGGACCTGTCAGACTGGGTTAGACGCCCCTCCAGTGGCTGTCCCAGTGCCTTGTGCTTACCCCGTCACTCGGGGTTGTGCTTCCTTGGTGACGAACCTGTCCGTCCCACCAGATTTTGAGTTCCATGAGCGCAGGGACCAAGTCTAATTTGATTTTCATTCTCAGCTCCCCACATGCTGCTGTTCAGAGCAGTGAGTGTTTGCTGAGCCTACCCTGGGACTCAGAAGCCTATGAAACTGAGTGTAACGCAGACCCAGCCCATGGGCACAGCCAGAGTGATGCAGGATGGAGGAAGGGCTGGAGCCAGGTGGGAGGAAGGGCAGGAGCTCAGGGGGGCGGCTTTCTGGGAAGACACATAGGGAGGACTCTGGGTTAGAGGAGAGGTTGCTGGTCTCTATCGGCAGCCCCTGTGAGAGCTCTTAGTCAGGGATAAGCCCACTTTGTTAAACTCAACAACAGTTATGCCTGGGCTCCTGCAGTGTGCTGCTCTGGCTCTGAAGGGACACGGCAGTGAAGGAGACGTGACTTCCACCTTCCAGGAATGTCCTTCCACCTGGCACGGGGAGGAGACTGGGGCTGGCACCCATGTAACTGGTAACTAGTGAGGAAAGCCTCTGGTTGCAGCGTAAGGCTGGGCCCAGGGCCCCAGAGGCGTTCGATGCCAGGGCAATCCATCTGGGTGGGCGGGTGCCGCCTTCCCCACCACGTCGATACCAGTGCAATCTGTGAGAGCGATCGGGGACAGATGGCGGGGAGAGGCCATCTCTGTACTTGTGAGCTCATTCTCCAACTCCAAGTTGGTTTGTAAAATTCTTGCTACCCGATTGTTTCATTTCATCCCTTCAGGTTGAGGATGGTTATTTCCATTTCACAGATCAGAAAACTGAGCTCAAAGAAGCCTTTTGACCTGTCTCAGGTTGCCTGACTAGTAGGAGGGAGGCCTGGGTCTGGAGCCCTTTCAATCATTCACTCGCTCTACAAACCCGATGTGCCCGCGAGTGCCAAGTGCTGCGCTAGGGGCTGGGGCTAGAGCTGAAGACGAGACCCAGTGTCTGCCCTGGTGGAGCTCACGTTCCCAGTGGGGAAACAGACAGACAGACTCCGGATGAATGAGTTACGTGTCCGGCAGGTGGGCGGTGACGAATGCAGGGAGAAAGGCGAGCAGAGAAGGGGGATGAGGAGCATGCGATTCGGGATCGAAGGGCCAGGCTTGGCCTCTCTGGGAAGGTGACATTTGAGCCAAGACCTGGCAATCGTTATCTGCCTTTGCAAAAATGAGCACTCCGGTCTGCGGAGGGGCGAATGGAAGGGGTCTTATTGCTAAGGAAGCAATTCCAGTTCCTGACTGCGCTCCCCAATTTAGGGCTGATTATGTTGGCGCTTCAGGCATTGTGCAGGAACAGCTGTCTGGCACCGCCTCCTTCTCCCCAGCCAGCAGTTTCCTGTGCCACCAGACACTTAGTTGCCACAGCTGTGCTGACAATCATCCTCCCTCAGCGTTCCCGGAAATTCTCAGAGAATGGGCACCTGAGTATGCCTGAGAGGGGCGGCAGGGCGTCAGGGCACCAGGCAGAGATGTCACAGTGGGGCTTCCCATGGTGCTGCTCAGCCTGGAGAAGCCTCTGATCTTTGGGGAGGTGGCCAGGCTCCCCCGGTCTGATGGATGGCTGTCTTCCAGACCCCGACACTGATACGGCCACCATCCAGGAGGTCAGCGAGGCTGTGCTGGCCCTGTGGCTGCCCACAGACTCCGCCACAGTCCTACGGAAGATGAATGAGATCCAGGCCATTGCAGCCAGGCTGCCCAACGTGGACCTGGTGCTGTCCCAGACCAAGCGGGACATTGCTGAGGCCCGCCGGCTCCAGGCTGAGGCCGAACAGGCCAGGTACGGCCTGGGCCCCGGACTCCGCCCCATCCCGGGCTGGGCTGGCGCTTAGCTCCCTGCGTCTGTCTGTCATTGCTGCAAGTGAGAGAAGAAGTTCTCCAAGTCAGCGGGGTGCAGGGGGCGGGGAGGCAGGAGGGGGCGCTTACTGTGCTGGGGGTGGCGAAGTGATGCACAACACGCAGGTGACACTTTGCTCGGCCCAGCCCTGTCTTCTGTCCTGGAACCTGTGCCCGAAGGGCGCCTCCGACGTAACACCCACATTCATCGTGTCTGCTTGCGGGGGTCCTGGGATGGAAAAGCCACTGAGGGAATATCCCCCTTTTTGTCCTGGCCGGGAAGGATATTCTCTTGGACCGGTGAGAGGGCTGAGCCACACATCTCTTCATTTCCTGTTCGCGGTTCTCTCCCCTCTCCCTTCTGCCCTCCCGACCCCAGGAGCCGAGCCCATGCGGCGGAGGGCCAGGTGGAGGACGTGGTGGGGAATCTGCGGCAGGGCACGGCGGCTCTGCAGGAAGCTCAGGACACCATGCAAGGCACCAGCCGCTCCCTTCGGCTCATCCAGGACAGGGTTGCGGAGGTGAGGTGCTTTGGCTTCTTTCTGCCATTTTGGGAGTGAACAGACAGATTCACACACGAGGCGTAGAAGATGCAGAAAGTGACTTAGATAGAAACTGAACTGGGACCTAAAGAAGGTGGCTTACAGCCTCGGGCCTGGCTTTGACCTTCGGTTTTCTGGTCTCGTGGCGAAGTGCAGAAAGGAGTCGGGGTCCGCTGAGCTGGAGAAAGGGGAGGCCGGGAGGCGGGTAGACAGATAAGGGAGTGGGAGGGGGCAGCAGTGATGTCCTGGC